GTTAAGGTAAAGGTAAGGTAATTAATAGGTAAATCTCATATAAAATTATCAAAAATTATTAAAATAAATATTTTTCATCTATTTTTCAGATATCAGATTTTTGTTAGATCAAATTAATAGTGAGAAAGTAAAAGTAGATGATAGCGCTTATTTCTGGTTAAAGTAGGCCTACCAGCTACCATCTGTTAGTGCAGCCATATATTTTTGCCAATTGGTACGGGCCACTAAAACACAAATGGGTCGCCTATTCTCTGATTTTTCAATAGAAAATTCATTTCTATCCGCAGAATCCGAACCTGTTGCATCCCAAAACGATAACCTAAGTTGCTATAAACTCATACCTCAGAGAATAATAAGTATTGTCTCAAATTTTAGGTTCGCCTTACCAATCTCAAATCCACGAAATTGTTCTGAAATTGAATATAACGGTGATAAGTAATAGTAACGGTGATCAGAGAAATTGCCAAAAATTTGCCTTTGCGTGATTTTCTTCTGATCGCACTGATCGCAGTTTATCCAGCGTAGTGCTGGCGATTCACCTGTACTTCTATCACTAGGGAACTCCTTAGCATTTTTTAGTCCGACCAGGCAAGCGGAGCGAATTTAACTGCAATAATGAGCATTCTTTAAAAGGAAAATTTATTCATCAAAACAAAATACCCAATTTTTTAAAAGGTAAAAATTATTTCAAATTGTTAACAAACTGCATTTTTTTTTGAATCCACTCTAATTTTTTCCCCATTTTACCATTAAAAAAAATAAATGAATGAATAATCAAAAGCCTTACTTAATTCGTGCGCAATGAAGCAAATCATTAAACCATTCTCCTTTTTAGTTTATTCATATTTAATGAATCGACTTACCTAAATTACTTTTTACTAATTAATGCTCTTCCTTTCTTTTTTCAGCTCATAAATGATTATCGTATAGACTAGCATGTAAAGCGATTTTCGCTTTATATTAATCGATCTTTAGTTATGAAATCAGATTTTTTTAAGTATCGAAAATTTGTTCTTCATGATATTATCCAATATAAATAATATGCCATGGAGTGCATTGGCGAAAGAAGTAGAAATACAGTTCAGTCGTCAGTTTCACTCGAATTTTTGGCAAATTCGGCAAATTAATCAAGCTTTTCTCCTAATAATATTGGCGATATTGATGGAAGAAAGAGGTAGACGGCGGCTCATTTCTATTTGTTTTCTTGTTTTTGTTTTTTTCTATTTGTTTTCTTGGAACTAAATTTCAGTAATGGTTGTCAGATTTCAAGAAAGTTCTAGAGAGGTGGTGGAAATCCTGCTTACGAGCTATTGCATTGAACTTATTTTATTATTTTATTATTTTATATCAATTATTTTGAGACTGAGAATATTTTGTCATTTTTTATTTTCTCGATTTAATTTGATGGTGATTATGGCATTTTATGTTGTTTCAAAGATGCGTATAGGTTCCATTCCAATTGTTCGAAGAATTAAATCTAGGACGTATAAAAAAATCGCATAGCATTGGACGTTCACCTAAATCTTTTGGCAAGAAAACCTTATCAATAAAATAAAATCAGCTAGATTTCATGGTTCTGATTTTCTTCTGGTTTTCTTTCGACTACTCAAGAAAACAATTCATAGAAAATATTTCAAAACAGTAGTGAGCATGCGATCTTTTTGAGAAAACTGGGCTAAATAATATTTATATCTTTATTTTTTAATTTTTGTAAAAACAAAGTAAGACGTTATTGAAAAAAACTATCTTTTTCAGAAAGCTTATCAGCCTTATCCAACTTACTAAAAAGAAATTTTTTGCTTTTGGCGATATTCGATAGTTTAGTTGATGATTCGAACGTTTAGTTGAAGAAATATTGAGTACCACAAAAAATTCATAATAGTAATAAAAGAGTACGAAAATTATAACTTTCTAACTTTATAACTTTCTAAGGGATTCATTTAATTCTTTTTTTTGCACCCTCATCATCTCTGATTCGGTGATTATTATGTAGTAAACCGATCGTCAGGTCATTTGTGGATAGAAGTACAACTAAGTCGCCAGTATCAATCAGATTTCTTTCAGCACACTACTACCATGCGACAAGCTTTTCACAGGCATCTTGGTCGAACCCGCATGCCACTTTTACATATTATTTCTATTATCATTAACACTAGAGTTTAAGGGAAATATTTTGAGAATTTTTCGCTTAAAAATATCAAAAATCCTAATTCTAAATAAACCACCAAAGCCAGAGGATTTAATCCAATTTTTTCCTCAAATTATCGGATTAGTCAATTCCAATTCTCCATTATATCAATTTATTTATATTTCTCAATATAGACTTATTAAGTATTTTTATTAATTCTGACGGGTAAATCTACGTGTTTCAGCAAATCCAAAATATAAAATTTAAGCATTTCAATTTTTTACGAAACTATTTAAAGCATAAATTTTATATATAAATACATTTTGATGTTCCAAGTACGTTTAGACATTGACTATTGATTAACATATCGAAATAAGTTTTCATTCATCAGCTCTCATCTATTTTAGCAAAATTTTCTTATACACTGCTGCTTGTCACAAAAAGCTGTGACATAATATTTGAATCGTTGCCATGTAAATATTATTATATTATATTTGACCCGATGATTTCTTTAACTTGACCTCTCCTCCGCTGTATTAAAAATTTATCAATTAATACCAATTCATTGCTATACTACATAGGATTGCCTTTTTTTAACTTATTTAAAACTAATTTTTGTTGTTTTATTGATTTTCACAATCGCGATTTAGCGATTTATTTGAAAAATTTTAGATAAGTCGAGGATTTTTTTTCTGTGAATTCTTTGTTTTGACTCTAAGAAGAAAGACTCGATTCCTTCGCTCTTACAGGCGTGAATTTATCAAAAAATTCGAGTGGTGCTGGCGACCCAAATGATTGCCACTGCCATAGGAAAAGTTTTTGAGAGAAAGAAAAATTGTTGCATGCTTAAAGCTTTTGATTTAAATAAAAGATTCGACATTAATTGAATATTTGAGGAAAAAGTAATTTATAGAATCGTTTACGCATGATTCTATAAAGCCATTCGAAGAAAATTTTAGTTAAGCAGAACAAATCTTGCTTTAGGGAAAAGTCCGTTAAAAAATAAATATTGCATTTTCATTCGATTATTATCGCTGTTTTTTCAATCCTTAAATTATATCTATAACCCATCAAGGTTCCACATAGTGGTAAAAATCATTTATATGTAATGCTTAGTTGCTAAATGAGGTAGAATAAATGAATAGCGTTTACCATTCCTGGTCAGCTAGTTTTTCTTAGAACGATTAGAAATTTTTGCCAAATAATCACATGGCAATAGAAGTGTGAGTGGGGTTGTCAGATTTTTAATAGTAGATTTATTCCTGTCGCGACAGAGAATCGAACCTGTAATGCTCAATGCAAATCGAGGTAGGTATACCACTCGACCAGCATTGCCATCAATTTCGTAATTAATAGAGCAAGCCAAACAGAAATGATGCGTGCTTTTAGAAAGCGAACATACCTCATACTTAATAACGTAAATAAAAAAAGGGCGTCCTGGAAAAAAAGTATGATCAGCGGAATGATGACTCTGAACTGAATTGAATCATGTTGTCCATCCATCCATCCATCAACAATATAATTCTCAGACAAATGTGTTGTTGACTGCAACACATTTTCATTGGTGATAAATAAAGTCCTAGCCGGTTTCTTCCATGAAAAATTATAGGCATTTGGTGTGCGAGAAGGGAAGAGGCGGTGTTAAACGCCTCGTTTAGGCGAGGCCTGTTCAATCTTTTTTTTTCGAATACCGTATCAGGTTTAATAATTCTGGTAGGCGGGCATATTCGTTGTTTTTCTTGTCTTGTCTCTTAAATCGAGGTGTTGTCTCAATTTTCGACTCCGCCCTTACTCTTGTTATTCTTGTGTTTCGATGGTCGTTTTGGTTACTACTTGAGCCCAAAAACTATCATCACATTAACCCGTCTTCTTCTTCTTATTCATATTCAACCTGTTTACCTTATTTTTGGTTTTCATGGTAATTTTCGACAATGAAAACATGGTTCCATAAAATCAAATCTGATATTAGTCTTATCAAAAATTTCATTTTGTCATTTATCACTTTCCTTTACAATTTCCTGATTTGAATCTATATTAGAACGTACGGTAATAGAAAAAATATGATAAATAATCATTGTCACTATAATCTGTTTATCATTTGCTTTTTCCCTTTACGCCATAATATTTCAAGTATTTACAGTTGATCTCGAATATAGGTGATCATGTTTGTTTTCTGAACTTTTCGCATTTTTCGTTTGTTCCTTTCATTTTTGTGTAAACATAAATTTTCTTCGCTAAGTTTTGTTTAAATATCAAAATATCAAACTGAACATTTCTTTTCCATAATCGATGTTCCAGCAATTCTACAAAACTAATTATTAGTGATTATAAAAAAATTTTAAGGTGAGGAATCATATTGGGGGCATTTTTTATTGCAGGTCTCTTTTGAACTTTTATAAGGACACATGGAAATCGCTTTTATAGTTGCGATAAGGAAAAAAATATTTTGGCTTCTCTTGAATATCATCGTCATTTGAATTTGATCCACTGTTAGACACTATCGTGTGCTAGGTAAAAGTCACTGAGCATTGCTATTTTAATCATATATCAGCGTGACTGGTGGCAATTGCAATCGGTGAATGTTTGGTCTGCATATTGTGCTATTTTTCATTCTTTAACTGAGTATGTCACATCATTAATTTAATATTTTTTTATGAATAATTTAATATTTTTGATTGTAATTTAAAGTTATTTATAGTTTTTTCATGGTTTTGGAATTTTATATCAAGTTTTTAGGGGATAACTGCATAATAATTTCAACATATATTCTATTTTTTGAAAAATTTCAGATTGATTACCAAATCTGTTATCGAATATTGTTCCACGTTTTCTACGCAAACATAATATTCTTCTTTCGATTATTTCATTAAAAATGGCCACTAATTTATTGGCCACTCGTGGTGCCTTTGAAGCTATGAGTGATCAGTTCAATCAAATGACACAATTACCAACCAATCAAATAGATACAACTTCTTCTAGTACTAATAATTGGCGAATTGGCTTGACAACTCCTACTCAATCGTCGTTTGCTGAAAATATGGTATCGACAAGTTTGATGCCTCTTGACTCGGATTCATATCCTATTATGGCCGAACAAACAAGTTCAGCCAATAATAATAGTAAAAATAATAACTTTGAAAGTGCTGACGGTTAGTTTAGTTCCTTATCTTTTTTTTGAATTGTCAATTATTATTATCATTATTTTTCATTCTTACAAGCTTATTTTCCTTCCTCTTTTCCTTTTTCTAAAGTGCGTACTGATTAGACTGGTTGCGAAATTGAGGTTCAAAGCTTCTCGATCAAATATTTTCTCATTGCCATAACTTTTATGGGCATTTCCTAAACATATCTGGGATACGGATGTGATATATTTAACCAAATGCAAATCTACTGAGAATTTATGGCAATCAGTTAGTGATCCATTGAAGTACATCTTTCATTTAGCACATTATCTACTCAAATCAAATATCGTTCTTTACCTCTTTTTCGAAATCGCTTCAAAATGAAATAGCTTTTTATCTTAATGCTTATGAGGTTTTGTAGGTCCGAATAACCACAAACACAAATACCACAAACAAATCACCTTCGAGGAATTAAATAGATTATGTTTCGTGCAAATATGTAGATTCCTTCGTCTATAGTCAACAATTCTTTTCAGTACAAATGGGTGTTTATCTTTGCCAATGAATAGACCACCCTTTCTATGGATATCAACTGACTTGATTTCCCTCGTGGCTATATTTCCCTTTATTATTACCCTCTAATCGTTTAAAGTCATTCCAAATACTTTGTTTCATATATAAGATTGTCATAACCATAAAAATATTTTGCAAGTATCATCATAACATTCATCATAACAAAATATGCGTAAAAACCGGTGTCATGCAATTTTGTCAAGCTTGTTACAGCATTATTTTCATGATTATGATTATATATAATTGCATTAGCTTTTCTGCTGTTATGAACAGTTTTTTTTTGCATTCATTGAACATTAGAGAAAGCAATATTTTTTCAAATACAGGTTTTTCGAATATTCAGTTCGTTCTTCCAGTGCTTCCACCATTGGCTTGCCTGATTGCAATAGCCATTAATATAAATAATATTAATATAAAAATTATATAGTTTATATTTATTTATAATTAAATATATGCTTTTAACCAACATAATATATGCTTTTAATCTATATATATTGTATTATTGCTTTTTTTTGGCTGAAAGCAGCAAGATTGTACGAAACATTTATCGAGACTATTAAAGGAAACAGAAAAAAGCTATTGGAAAGTCGTAAACTAGGTGCCATTTGAGCATATGGCTTTAGTGATATATGGTTCTACTTAATTAGGGCTTGTGTTAAAAACCATTTCCGTCATTTGAAGAAAATTTTAGAAGGTTTATCGAACAATAGCTTCAAATTCCAATTTTATTTTCTCTAAAATTCTAATTTGTAGGTACCAATACTTATATTTTATATAAAGAATTTGTTTTATATTTTATGCAGAGAATTTGATAAAAATCATCTATGCATTTTTGCTTGTAAACACAAAAAATTACACGCACATGCTAATATTTTCGATCAATTCATGCGTGTATAATTTTTTTATTTCACATCAGCAACAACTTATTTCACCATTATTCCTTCTTCTTCTAACAGCCTTCATCATTACTGATTAAGCTGGCTCCGCTGGCTGCAAGGATAAGACTAATAAGGATAGGTCTCTAAGCTACTCGCTCCGACGCTATCGCTAGTATTAATAGAAGCCATTCCTTTTTCCATCGTCTAAGTCCATATATCGCTTTTTAATTTTTCATTTTTGCATTTTATTTCTCTATTTTTGCACAGTTGTTGCACAGCTAGAAATGCAGTTTCTCACTTACGGCTATCCTTATTGGAATTTCGCTTTTCGTTTAGCCATTCGATATTTAATATCGGAGAAAAATTTCGATTGAATTTAAAGTTAACTATGAATTTGTAGTGAAAAGAATATCGCGTTGTACTTTTTCATTGTTAGTGATCCCTACAATAGTTAAAGTAAACTTTTTTTGAATTGCACGAAAATCTATAGGAGATTTGGCAATGCAAAGGAGAACTACGAAGATGTCGATCGGGCGCGACGAAATACGATGAACGAATATTACTTCTCTAATTCTTAAAAAAATTTTTAACTAATGAATAAAAGCGATATCATTTTATTTGGAAATAATTTTTTCCTTTTATCTAGAATAATAGCCAATATCACTGAATTTTTATTGGTTAATTCGCTGAGAATGAAGATTTTTTTTTTTTCAGGAACGAAAAGGCCTTCAACGACTTGTTTTGGCTGTCGCCAAGGTGCGTTAGAATTCATGAATTGTTCATTACGAGAATATTCCATAGGGCGATTGATTATCGATTCGCCTCACAAATTCATATATACATGATTATGCACATTTGCTAGTTTTCTATTTCGAGCATAAAACATCAGTTATTTATTAATAAAAAATATGCTACGTGAAAAATTCCTGACAAATGAGGGACACTGTGGTACTATCCACAGTGAGATAGGAGAAATTTATGATGATTTATGCATAGTCCAGGAAAATCAAAAGACGATTATTATCAAATGAAAAAATAAATTGTAGGGAAACCAGAGTGGAATTTTTTTTTAAGATGATGCCGAGAGAAATTTAATGTTCATAGTTCAGTACTTCATTGATGTAGCATTCATCCTATTCGTTAAACAATTAATATTATACTAATCGTCAGATGATTCCTCAATAATTATTTTTAAATTGTTTTTTTAAAATAACCTGGTATTTCGCAGAAATTTATTAATATTTCGGCGTGTTACTTAGATTACTGCATCATAGTTCCATGACTATTTAGCTTTTGTTAGGAATTGTAGGTTTTAGTGAAAATTAAATATGCTAGTGAAAAATTAAATTATAAAAATTCTACAGCGTTTTATTCGCCTGTTTTATTACTTTTCTATAAAAAAAATAGAATTTCTGGTTTCCTTATTGGAAACTTGATAGCTCAATAAGTGGTTGGCGCTAATCATTTCTCACTAAGTTACTATGCAATTGAAAATTTTTGCTTGAGAATCATTTGGCATTATTGGTTGTATTAGTAGGATTCTTCAATGTCAGGCTTATTTCTATCGAAGACAAGAGCCGAAAACTTAACATAATAATACGAGCCATTCCACTCGATTATCCTAAATTAGGAATGGTGGAATTGTTTTTGTATTTTTCTCAAATAATTATATTTTTAATAATTTTGCTTAAATTTTTAACTATTTTATATTTGGGATTTTAAATTTATTACTGAAACTTACATGAATCTTCATTCTCATAGCTAATCAAATATGCACGATTTTCGCATGCGATCTTAATTAATCATTTAAAACCGAATGCGAGAAATTTCACAGAGAATTTTCTACTCAGAAAATTCATCGCTGATACGAAATCCCTTTTTCGCATCGTATATTATATTTCTACTAATAGGATAGGCAAAAAAAAGGAAAAATAACAAAATATATAATGGATTTTTAGATGCTTTCCTGGGATAATCCGAATGAATTATTTTCAGATATAGTAGATCGATATTATTTTCGAATCGATCCTGATATGATATTTCACCACAATTGTGTCAAGGTAGGTAATTTGACTCTATCATCAATATAATTGGCTTTAGTCATACAGTGAAACTGGTAAACTACTACTTTTACTATTTTTTTTCTATCTCTGTATTAGGATAAGACAATTGGTGGTAATCAAAGATTTTCGCTGTGAAGCTTTTTGCTTTCCATCGGATCCTCAGTTATCTATCTTCCAGTTTTATCCAAACTTAACTTCGGATTAAAAATTTTTTACTTGTTTGTTAGCAATTATTAATTCATTTTTGTGGAGCAAAATTATTGGTTCAGAAAATTTCTGCCATATATTTTTCCATTTTTTGTAATCCTGCGATGATAATACATTATGCAATCATCGGATTCATCCTTTTTGCTTATTAGTTTGGGAAAATTAAAGTTGGCCGATTAACCATTGATGAGACAGAAGGAAAAAATGTCTGCTATGAAACGATATTGAAGCTCAAATTGAAAATAAACTCAGCTAAGATGGATTAAATTCGCCTATCACGTGCGATAAATTATTTAAGTTAAATTATTTAGTCGATAAAATGTCACTATTTTCGGATAATGTAACATATGTGCTAATCCACTCCATAGTACCATCCAACATGCAACAATTCCATAGCATGAAACTTACATTTAAGTTTAAAATTTAATGGTCACCTGGAGGAAGAGCGGGGAGCGGAAGAGATTTGGGAAGAGACTTTCTTCAAGAAAAATTTTAAAATTTTTTATTCAATTAATGTTGAAGATGTTTGCTTTTATATTTTCTATATTTAACGTTCTCAAAGCTTAAATCAGATTAGCTTTTTCATAAGGTTTATAAATTAATTGCAGAAACGTCTACAAAATTTTATTTGGAATAAGCTGCACTGGAAATTGAGTGAAAAAGTTTATTCCATTACCAAAATTTGAGTTATTTGAATTATCTAATTATCCAATCGATAATGATAGTAGATAGTTTAGTTTTCTAAGGAAAATAGAATTTCTAATGGATGTCTATAGCCAGGAATTTAAGAATTTGAGAGTCATCAAAGTCCTTAAATTATTTACTTTAGTGAATAAGGTCAAGAAAATACTATAATAAACGAATAGAGAGTTATGCTAAGCAAATAATAAAATTTATTGACGACTAGGACTATTCTTTTTAGTTTTGAAGCAAAAAAAAATTTCTTCCGTTCAAAATAATTAGTATCCTAGTGAAGAGAGAATATATTACTGAGAATATATTGAGGCTTAGGCGACCTTTTTGTGGCAAAGTCGAAATAGGCAGAAAAAACTAAAATTCATCTTTTCTTCCAACAATTTCTATTTTTATATCTATTTTTTAAATAAAAATCTATTTTTATTTCACTTACTTACATTCTAAAGTTATTAGATTATAAATAATTATTATTCAATCTTTTATTATATCAATTTATTTTAATTTTTTAATATTTTTAATATTTTTATTTTAATATTATTTCTTTAAAAAAATTGAAATATATCGAATATTTTATTTTTTTTTATTGGCCCTCAACTATTATAATAGTAGTTAAATCTAAGGGCTATTGATTCGTTTTCTTTAATTTATCCAGAAAAAGCTATAAATCATATAAATTCCATAAAAACTAGCATGAATAACTAACCTATCATACGTCAATAAATCTTACCTTAATATTTTTATAAAATTCTACTCCAGCTTACCTAATTTTGCAAATTTATTATATACCCTTTTGAAAATTATTGAATCCATTGATTCGCGGGTGATTCTAAGTGGATAATTCTAGATAATGCATGATCTAACTGCTTAGACATTTCAGTGCTCTAGCTGTGATATACTGCTGAATGAAAATCGTACAGTATTCTTCAAAGATGGACGATTGTACTGTAAAGACGATTATAACAGGTTTGTATGATAGTATCATTAAATTTGATTTATTCCTCTTTTATTTTTTAAAAATTTTCAATTTCCAACTTTTAATTCCTTTAGCTCTTAATTTTCATTTTTCAAGAGACAATTCTTTACAGTAATTTCATTTCATTCTCTATTCTCTATTTATTTTATTTGTTTTGGATACCTCTCAAATGTTTTCGCTTTTGTACCAAAATCGAATTGTTCATTTAACGTTACATCTTACAATAAATGCACTTGTAAAGTTGACGTATTGTAAAAGATCTTTGAAGTTTTTTGAATCTTTTTTTTTGAAAGAATCCTTATAAAACCACTTCATGAAATAAAGTGAATCGATTGCGTATATATTCCGCAATAGAGCTTTTATATATTCCTCTTATAAGTTTGGGAACATTGAACCACTCGACTCACTAGAAAATTTTCAATATTCGTTCTATTTTATTGTTTTTATTAGAGATTTCATTTTTTTTCATAAAAAATTTGCATATCGCAAGAATATTATTATTTTCATGCAGTCTTATTATTCTCTTTCGAATAACTCATTTCTCTGTTTCTGATTTGGTTCCTCCATTCCTCTATTATCCGCTCCGGTAGCCAATTGTAGATGGAAGTATAGGTGTTCGATTTTGATGTGGGCAAGCTCAGTGAAACAACGGTGCTCGGCTTTAATTGAAGCAAATGGCCCTCTCTCGGCCCTTATTCCCTTAAAGAATTCTTCTTTCCTTATTGCAAATCAGTATTTTAAATAATTTTAATGATGTAAGTATAAAGTTAGCATAGGTCTTTGACGGACATCTATTATTGTCAATTACAATTTATTGGGAAATTTTTATTGAGATTAATAAAAATTGACAGCAAGAGAGTAGTTTATGACTATGAGTAGATAAATAAATTCTGGCATAGTTGGGGAACGAATCTGATTAATTATTCCAGCGATTTAGGCATAAATTCGCTTATTAAACACTAAAATAAATAATAAAATATTTTTTATTACCTCAATAAAACCTGAATTAAACCAGTGCAATTGCTTTTGCTGATGAGCTAAGAGTAGTGAATGAGCAATGAATATTTTCTGTCAGTTTTTAGCTTCGCTACTAACTTTTAGAACCAATTTCACTTTACGGGGCTCACGTAATATTCATTATGTACAAAAATGCAAATAACAAGAGAAACCACATTATTATATGTAGATTATGGGTTAAACGCTTTTAAAATCACCTAACTGAAAGAAATTGTTAATAAAAAATCTAAAATATTTCGAAATTTGTTGGATTAGAGGAAAGGAGAGATGAGAAGCCGAAATTTTTTTTTGTGATCTTGATTTTTATAATTTAGATGACAATTTATATACATATTTGTTGCAATAATTCGCGCGAATATCGAAAATTGTGGAAGTATTAATCGCTTATCATTTAAATCATCACTTAACACATTTGTTTTAAAGACTTACACTAGATACATATGATAAGATAATGGCAAAAGATTTTAGACAATTCTGACAGCTTTAGAAAGAAAGAAAGTAATCATTCATTCAATATGTCATTTTCATGATCATTAAGGTTATATAAAGATTAAAAAATATTGTCGTATTATTGAAAATCGTAAATTAATTAATTTACGATGACTTCTTATTGGTATATTAATTGATTATCAATGAAGTTTCTTTGTTTTATTATTTGTTTGTATATAAAATTTTTTATTTTAAGAAATAATTTTAGAAAACCATCAATATGAATAGAAGTGCTAGCGGCTAGTTTTGATAGTATTAGTAGTGAATAGACTTTACTGGTAAAGGTCAAAACGACAATAAAAGCCATATTTTTGACCTTGTCATTAAGTACATCAATGGTTTGATCAGGATTATGATTCAAGATTTCACGCCTATTATTCGTTGTTCAATTAAGAAAGCAATGTTGCTTACTCGCTGATATTTACTTAACGTTTCGATGATGACGATTTGTCACTTTAGATTAGTTAATTGCCTCACCAATATTTGTTAATTCATAATTATGAGGATTAGTGAAGTTTTTACTCATAATAAACGTAGAATATAGAATGTATATAACGAATTTTTGAAATAAATAATATACGCAAGGGATTTGATGGGGAATAAGGCGCGAATAGTATTTTTTCAAAATAACCTTTTTTATTTTAGGCAAATCTGTATTTTTCAGTTCTTTCTTTACATGAACATTGCTTTAAATGGTATTTTGCGGTTAGTTAGTTGGTTAAGCAAATAGCAATTTCTGACGAGTTTCTTTTTCTAAATTGTTTTTTTAAAAATTTTTAGTTCATCCTAAACCCTTTTATTAGGATTTGCATTTTTGGCTATAAAGTAAAGTGATTTCGCTTTTTTTTATTTTCTGTTTAAACCCGTCTTAGTACCAATGAGAAATTATTTATTTTCTAATTTATTGCCTTAGGAAATGAACAATAATTTATAATTATTCGCATTTATCAGTAAGAAATTCAGTAAGGAATTGTTTATTTTAAAAATAGTAAATTATACAATTCTTGCACTTTTTTTATATGCATTGTTGAACTATGTAAAACAATAAAAATAAGTTTTATTTTGTATAAAGTAGTAAATTTTTGTAATTTTTGCAAAAAAAATCATTAGATATGAAGAAAGAAAGCGATTCGAAAAGATTCGATTTTCTTGCATATATATACTAAAATATTTGATGTACTTTACATAAATAAAATATATTGAGCATGAATCAGGTTGGAAGTCTATCAATGTTCAACAAAACAAAAAAAATTTGATCGATGCCAGGCCGTCTGAATAAGCATTTTCGTAGTCTTTGCCGATCACAAATACTCTTTTTTTCTCCTTATTGAACCATTTCAATTATAATGATCATCAATCAGCTACCACCGAACTATCATATAAAGAACGAGAGAATATTTGGAAAGCAACTATGATACGGAATAAACGATATTTTTCCTATTTGTAAGTTTGGAAGGAATATTTAGTGTGAATACGTAAATCGTAAAATAAGTAAAAATAGAATAGACGACTAGGACATTTTTCTTTCATTTATTGAAAATAATATTGTGTCAGCAATGACGTAACGATTATGTGGACAACGGAAAAGTAACATACATCCGCTGCAATGACTCCTCAGGAAAGGTTCTCGTTAAGGTTCAGCAGCGGCGCTACTTCAAGTACGATGGAGACCACCAACAATTTCCGCCGTGGCACTAGAAAACTTTTTGACTTATAGATAAAATTAGTTAGCCGATCCATTATTAAAATTCTTTACCTGAGTGGAAAATATTTCGTAAATCATCAGGCAAACAATAATAATACGAGAAGCCAATAATAATACGATAATAATAATAATGATGATAATAATAATAATAATTAATAATAATAATAATACGAGAAGCCAAAAGTCTCCATTGGATATATGAAGAAATGAGGAATAAAATTGAAATTTCTTCTCAAAAACATTCACCGTTTCTCAGTTTGCTTCTCTACATTGATTAACGAAATTTTATCAGAGAGTAAATTTTATCACTTGAGAACTGAAGTATAAGTGAGCCCCAAGCCCTTAATCGCAAATTTTTTTTAAATTCTTAAATTTTTTTGGCAAACGAACAAAATTTTTGCATTTTTTCTCACAAAAAACATAGTTAATATGCGTTTTGAATTTCGATTAGTTGCTTAAATGTATAATAATTATTCAGTGCTTGTTTTAGCGCCGAAATTTTCATGGTGGGAAGAAAAAACAAAAAAAAAAGGACCAACAGATTTCATTGCTGAAAAAAAAGAAATTGATTTAAAAGTTTTTGCAAAAATTATCAATAATATCTGCAATATAACATATAATAATAAAAATAATATTAACAAAATAAGTTTATCTAAAACAATTTGATCAATCAGTCAAGAATTAATTAAATCCGAATATGTTTTATCTCTTATCATCCATGAATATATTCGTGATACACCTTTTTCTACATAACGCCTTTGACAGCAATAAATATATCGGTCACCGAGATTGAAATCCTAGAAGTGTTAAAAATTTACTTGCACTTCTAAGTAACTCTTTCTAAGTCTCTAAGTAACTCTCTGGCGTTTTCTTAAGTTAGCAATTAGTGGAACTAATTCAATCCAAAATAAGACCTGGCACCATTGAATCAGCATGAAAAATTGACGAAGAATATAGCGATTTTTCTATATTGATGAGTCGTATTTTTAAAAATATATATAATGAACAAATCTGTTGTCCAATGACATTCGCTAATTTTCTCCTATTACATTATCCCATTGATAAAGCAATCGTTTATTGATAGAACATAATTGTTATAAATGACCCTATAAATAATTGATGTCATCTTCATTATTTTTAATAATATCTTCAATTTATGGATGACCTTTTTTTAAAACTTTTTCTCGCTTTACTTATTATTTATCCACTTTAAAAAATGAAGTTTCCTTAATATTTTCTAAATTTCGGATGGTTACTTTAGTTACTTTTAGAGGTGTCGGGTACACTCAATGAGTTGTCATATTTCACTGAAGTTTTATAAAAAACTAAAAAAACCATTTGCTATTTCTAAGAAACAGCTGTTTCCCTTTCACATTCATTTATTTTTGAACTATTTTGTTTATAACACGGTTGATTTAAATTCACTTAGTTCTGAATTCAATTTAATGAATAAAGGAATTTCTGCAAAATTTCTATTAATTTATAGGTTATATCGTAAGAAATGTCGTCGATGTATGAAATTATTTGAAAGGGTAGATCTGGTAATGCATGCCGGTCCTTTATTATATCACGTATCGTGCTTTTCATGTCATTACTGTGATAAAAAATTTATCACTGGCGAAAATTTTTTTGTAAACAATGATGAAATTTATTGCGGAGCAGAATGCATCGACGCGGTATGAATTTATTGATTCCCTACAAGTAAAACATTAGATATTTTTAAAGTTTTTCTGAAGCAAATTATGTTTTATTGGTACTTACTGACATAAGAAAATCGATTTTTTAAGCGATAACTAAGTACCAACTCAACGGTATCTTTTTTTTAGCCTAAGGATAGAGTAGTTTTTAGGTGTTCAGAGATATCTGATTCTTTTTGCATTCGGATTTTACTCTTTTAATATCTTAAATATAGTTACAAAGGTTTGCATTAGTAAAAACAAATGATATGAAATTCGATGATTCCATGTTCTTGAAGAAAAAACTTGAAATTTGCTTGCTTTACCTATCTTTGATAGTTAATAATTGATAAGAATTGATAAGAATTATGGGAAGTCTGCCTAAAATTGAACTTATTTTTAGCGACCGTCATCGACTAAAACAGAGATATTTGTTCGAGATGATGACGATTGTTGGGATTCATCGACTCTAACTAGCTTGGACAACCAAATGACAACTACCCCACCACTATCATTACGAAGTCCCAGATCCGATGAGGCTTGTGAAACTATTGAAATTTTTCCTAAAAGAATTGCTACATGTTTTTTTGAACACCATTTGAATGTTTATGGCCGATCTTCCAGAATTACAGAGCGATCAAATTTTAAGCGCATTAATTGCAATTTGCAAGAATTTAAAGATCTGATTTTCAATTCTAGGTCATTACTTTTCCTGGACCAAGTTCAGCGTCAGTATCAACTGGTTCGATGAAAAAAAATAAAAAAGATAAACAGGTAAATTTTTTTGATTAAGAAAAGTAACACCAAGAGGGACAATCACGCATATAAGTCCGTTTTGCGAGAATCATATTATTTTATCAGTTATCAGTTGAAATAACTTCAGGCTACTCGAGTGCGAACGGTGCTGAACGAAAAACAACTGATGACATTAAAAACGTGTTATGCGGCTAATTCAAGGCCGGATGCCATTATGAAGGAGCAGCTTGTGGAAATGACCGGTAATAAATTTAATAATCACATATCGCTAGCCAAAATTATAATTTAATTGACGGATCGAGGAATTTATTTTACTTTCTCGATTACTCTGATCAATTATTTTGTAATATGACAATATTATTGCTTTATAGGTTTAAGCGCTCGTGTAATTCGAGTATGGTTCCAAAATAAGCGTTGTAAAGATAAAAAACGGCAGCAAGCATTGCGGCATTTGCAGCAAAGAGCTGAGACGGCAAGTCATTTTGACAATTTTTTCTGATTTCTTCAATCGTTTTTTTTGTCTTTGCAGCTGTTTTGGTGTAAGCCAGTTTTTCTTGTCATTTTCTATTTATTTATTGTATTTATCTTTATTGCGAAAAAAGCCTTGGATCCAAGTGGTACCGCAAGGAGATCCTTGCATTTCTTCCAAATAATTCTTTTAAGAAAATAACTCGATGATCAATAGTTAGTGGAGCAAACCAAACCAGAAATTTTCAATATAGAGGAAAATGAATGATTTAAGAAATCTCGCCGCAAATTGTCTTAAAATTCCGATATCTCAATAAGTTACCATCAATGTCATAAGCTTTTGAACTGAATTTGTTTATTTAGTAGTGATTTTCCAGCTTTTCTACACTCAATAAAGTCGACTGTCCTATCAATTGTTTAGCTCTATTCTTCTAAGACTACGGTTATTACCAAATTATAAGGGAGATGATTGATCCTTTATTATTACGATGTTTTCATGCAATGAATAACATGAACCTTGATTATCATAACTGTATGTCGCATAATTTGTTAATGAATTTATGAGAATATTAACTCTGCAGGTGTTTATAAACAAATATCGTTTGTGGAATTAAAATATCATGAAAAGAACTGAGAAATACGGTGAAAATAATAGTAATTACTTAGTTTCTATAATTGCCCCATTTTCTGATGGTTGGAACCGCTGTCGAAGGAACTATATATTTGCCTAGCGAGACCAAAAGGATATTTTTAGGAAAAATATTAACAACAGGTGAATTCTGTAGCCAATCTACCGATAAATCCAGAAAAACGTTGGTAAATTGAACGTTTATACGAATTGAGCAAAAAATCTGGTTAGGCTTGCTCATCTGGTTACTAGTAGAATAAAGCAATGAGGCTTCGGATTTTAAATAAACCTAGAGATGTTCAACTCTAATAGATATCGGAACTAACTTATGATGGATGAAAAGATAATCCTAGGAATGGAAATTGGCAAGCCAATTAGCCCGAATACTTAAATTATCTTAAATCTATTTTTTTCCGGATTTTACAGTATTTACTCATCAAAAAAATTCTTATTCTTATTAGCTTTCATTCTTATCAGTGCTTATTAATTTTTGCTAACATTTTTACTCTGATAAATAGCTTATTATCTATCGAGATTTTAAGTGAATGTAAATCATAATAATCTTCGTAAATCATCGTAGAATTTTTAATGAATTAAATTTATTTTGGTCGTAGTTAGTTGCCAATAAATATGCGCAAATTTCAAGCCTAAATCTAAAAATTCAGGTTTCTTTTCTTCCTGAGGTCCATTTCAATTTTTTTCTCGTATTTCTCTAGCTAACCACGATTTTTTTTAAAATTTTAATGGAAAAATTTGACTTGGAATCAATTTTTATTATCAATTTTTATTTAATGCTAAAAGAAAAGATGGAAATCCTAATTTAGATTCTGTAACGTGAATAAAAATTAAGATTTAATAGGAAAGATTTTAATTTACCGTACTCTTTTGGACCATAAAAATAATTTAGTTGTGCTGATAATTAAATCTAATCAGATTTAGTCTCTTTTAACGATTTTAATCAGATTTTACTTCTTATTGTTAAAGAGATAAAATAAAATATATCATAGGAAAGAAGCAATAGATTAACAAAAACACAAATGAAAATATAGATATTACTTAAAATCTCGTAGAAACGAGAGGAAAATAAAATTGGCAAAATGGTTTTTAGCATCCAATCCATTAACAGTAATGAAAATTCGGCATCTCTCCTTGCTATTTAACTAAATCTCATTAAATTTGCCTCTAAAACAATTCCTTAATTCTATTTGTTTAATTATCATGAATTTAGGGCAAAATTGATTAAAATAGATAATTTTACTCCAATATAATTCATTTTATAGCTCAATTAATAAAGCACAAAAATTTCAGTTGAATTTTAAATATTTTAGATATTTATTAATTTGGATTATAAATATTCTCGGTAGACGCTTCGTTCTCAAAATTTTATTCATACAATTTTATAAAATGAATAATTATTATTGGCTTTTGAAAAAATCCTTCACCAGGTATATCCTCCTCTCCTTTATTCCTTATCTGTAATATTTAACATCACTCGCATTTCCATGTTTTTTAAGATGATTATAACTATTCGATATTTTACTACTCTTATAAGTTAAAGAAATAAATGATGGCTCCTATAAGTTAGAGAAAAGTTCGAGTGATTTCATCCCAGTAGCTTATAAAAATATTTAAACTAGTTTTTACTGTCTTTTGACTCAATGAAACTATATATTCCATTGTAATTCAAAAAATTGTTAACAAATGAATTGTTGAAAAATGCTAAAAATTGGAAATTTGAAATTTTACTTGAATATATGAACAAATTCATTTCGAGGATTCTAAATAGCGACCGTTGTGGAGGTTTAAGCCTAAAGGTGTATTCGGATTATTTTGTTTGCCTATTGAGGTGAACTAAAATGTTTCTAACGTAAACTTTCTTGATAGTTCGAATCTGCACTATCTGTTTATATCATTCCCCTCGCCTTACCCCATAATTTTGCTTGCATGTCAGCATCAATTTTTCTGATGAGGTAGTCAAATAGTAAAAAATCAATCATTTTCTTTCATTTATCTTCCCCTTTTGAATTTAGGAAAATGTCGTTCACGTTGGATGTAAATCATTTGCTGAAATTTCTTAGGTTTTCGAAACATTTATTTGCCATTTAATGACTTATATAATTTTTAAATACAGACTGAGATCTATCTCGTAAAAAAATAACTTTACAACTTACTTATAGAACTAAAGAGAATCAAATTTCGGCTGTTAATTAATGTTGGTGTATAGTGGGAAATATTGCTTTGACTAAGGTCAAAACGAAGGTTAACATAGGTTCGATTTATGCACCTTAACAGAAGTAAACGTGCCATTAAAAATCGGAATTGTATCTTACTTCCACCTGCACCTTTTTTTCATTAACTTTTCAACAAAGACGGATCCAACGATCCAGTGGAGCTAACCAAATTAGAAATGGTGAAGAGCTACAATAATAAGAAGAACATAAGGCAATCTGAATTCCAAGTTTTAAAAAACATTGAAAAGCATGCATGATTATATGCGCTCCAAGGAAAATATAGGGGTATAAGGTCGTAGGCAATAAATAATTCTTCATCTTATTATGTCCTTCCAATAATTTTGGTTTAAATTTAAGCAATTTTTCATCAGACATTTCGCCTCTGTCATATACTTCAATCGAATGGCTGAATTAAGTGAGACATAGTATCCCCATATGCTCATTTCTCAATTCCGCTAAATATTACTAGGTGTGGGAAATTGACATTTGTTTTCCCGATCTTTATGCATTTGTCCTAAAATACAATATCATCTGATGACAATACTAACAAAAACCACTTCATTTGGTATTAAACGTTTATCGATGATCACTTTTCTATTTAGTTATATGAAAACAAACCATATGTTCGAATCTTATTTTCGAATCCGCGAAAAATTAGGTCTAATATTGCATTTAATAGACTATTCGTGCATAGGGGCTTTTTTATTTAAGATTTTATTTATTTTTAGCCGATTAATAAATCCTATTGGCATTATTTGGGAAAATAAATGGAACCAGGATTTAATTAATTTTTAAAGCTGTTCACAAGTAGTCACAACCTATTTCATTAAAAAAAAAGCACCAGTAAAAAGCTAAAAGTAATTCTGATGTATCAAAGAAATTCACATTACTTCCTTATATTTCTTATTTGAAAATATCGCAATCCCATTGACGTGCAAGTTGATTTTATGGTACCGTATCTTTTGAGGATATAAATTTGTAGCCTATCACACCGATCCTATGGTAGTGGCGAGTCGTTCAAGCATATAATAATTCACCAACTGAGAACGAATTAATGATGATCAATATTAGAAAAAAATTTGTTGGAGTACGGTGTCATTTCTCCGTGAAAATTTTTTCCTTTAAAATTCTAAAATCTTTGTTCTCAATTTTTTTCAAGTTTTTATATTTCGATCATTGAGCGCTTCTGTGATGGTGATGGCTGAATGAATTTCCACTTGGCATTTCATTTATCTTACAAAAGAGCAAAGCTTCTGCGTGCGAGTAAGTAAAAATATCAAACTGGTACAATTTATAATATTAAATTAGGCATAAAAAACTGCAAATAAATGAACTGTATACATGTATATATTTATTTATATATTATAAACTTAACTGTATAAAGAACAGATGCAATGAGATAGTAAAGGGACAAGGGTGACCGAGTGGTATGATTCGCATCGAGCATCCTAGGCTCTATTCACTTCTTGATAGAAGTAAAATCCTGGATGCTGATAAAGTGTCTCTATTTTTATCATCAAATGAATCCACAGCGCAAATTTCCAATTGCACTAATAGTCAGTAGTGATGGCCATTTTATTTAAATATTTACGCTTCGGAAAAAATCTTTAAATCCTTTTTTTTCATTCCTCTATTTTTGCATATCTTTCAGACAAAAAAAAAAACAAGAAATAAAACAGAAGTTTTATAATACAGTAGAATTTCATCGCATTTTTCCTAACTAGTTTCTTTCTAATTTAAATTACGATACAAGGTGAAATTCATTAGTGCGAATTAAAAATAAATTTTAAAACATTATCATTAGAAAATTTTAACCTTGAACTGCTGTCGAATTTTAAACGCATTTATGTGCAACGAGATCGGATCCTTATCTCTAATTATTTATGGAATTCCGCTTGGGTTGATAATTTTTCGCATTTATCTCTCTTATTATTATGTGATACGTAAAAAGGGTCAAACAACATATGTGGATCATCAACCATTAAGTTAATTACAGAAATGATCAGACAAGGAGAATTGAAAAGAACATTTTTATTAATAGACCGCAGAATTCTTGTTGTGCAATTTTATTCAAAAATTCAAAAACCGAAACGAGCTGAAGGAAATATAAGCAACCGAAGAAATTTTGACTGGGTCTTGGAGATTTATAAGTAACTTAAATGATCCACGGATTGTTCGTTTTCATTTTTACGAAAAATTGCGGGCTTTCAGATCAAAATTTTAATTTGAAAAAGTGGAAAATGCAAATTGTAATTTCTGTTTAACAGTTTAACATAATTTTTTAACATATCATAATTTTCTTATTTATTCTTAAATTTTGATTCTTCGAGATTCATCGGTCATTTTCGAATATAAATTTGCACAACAGCATATCTTTATTTACAGAGCACCTAAGAATAAATATGAGAAATTTAGAACATGGGGATATAGATGTTGGAAAAAAAAAGGTAAATATATCGCTTGCTTACTGAATGCTGTTGTTGTATGAGTTGCCGATAAACAGAGGAAATAGGAGTCATCCACATACATCGGCTTCCTATTATTTGAATATGTACACAAAGAAACAACTACTAGCGAATAGAGAATATGATGAACACTGTAAAATGACGACGACAAGGGACGATAGATATCGCAATAAAATTATAATCTACTGGTACATTTTTCCTTATGCTTATCGCACTCCTTTGCATGTTCAGGGTTGACTGACAATATCAGCTTTTATCACCCCTTTCAATAGGATAAAACAAGTACCTATCACTTTGCAAAGAATTGGTTTTCAAAAGGAATCATGTGAACCCTTCTTCTTCTTAAGAGTCCTCACCATTACTGGTTAAACTCGCTCCACTGGCTTGTCGCATTGAGCAATATGCCAGGGAATCTCTTGGCGATAGAAGAACGAGTGAGTCGCCAGCACCCAGATTTTTGTACAGGTTTGCTCCTGCGGCGAATCGAACAGCAATGTGAAAAATTACGAAATTTGATTTAATGTGAACATCGCCTAATAAAATTTAAGATTTTAAGGTAAAACTAATTGATAGATACTTATTTTTTATTTAATATTTACTTAATGTTTTAATCGCATTGTATTTTGAATAAAAAACTAGAATTTTTGCTTTCTTTTCTTTGCAAGAATGTCTTCAATGTTTTTAGAATTTAGAATTTGAATTTTCTATTCCATGCATTCAGTAATTATAGGAGAAAATTCAGGTATCTAGTTTTTTAAACATATGGAATATACATTATAATCTAATAACGTGATTATCTATTAAGGAACGTGCCATTACTGGTGTTCGAATGAGTGGTGTTGGACCATTGATAGCGGCGTCGCCAACACGGCATAATGATCCAAACATGGCGACAATTCAGCCAATTGAAATCAGTCAATTCGCACAAAATCCTGCTCTTTGGCCCAATATAGAATCGATGGAGCAACATGCTATTGCACCACATACGGCACATCCTCATCGAATGCAGCATCATCAGTTCCCTCAAATGGTAAATGTCCCAAATGGATATCTTAGTTTTTCCGAGTTGTTTTGATTCCATATGTGATTAGGATTATTAGCTAATATTTTCCCGTTTTTAAATTAATAGCTAATTTTGAACTTCAATTAAAAAATTTATATAAAGTGAGTATCGAAGAAATTATTTCGATCTTGAAGCATAGCACCTGCCGGAAAACATGCATCATCTGTTCGGATGATCCTTTTGATCCGCTTATATTGTTCTTTATCAACCTAGCAGCTGCGCAAACACAACATCTTAAACTTTACTAACCTTAAATTTACGAGCTCCATGTTCGTTTCTATAAGCGACGATAGATATATAGGGATAAAATAAGGAACTGAGATCAGTCATTGGTACTGGTCATTTCTATTCGGCATTCCACTGCTTTCAATAATTTCTTTACTTTTCGCTTTTTACTTGTAACTTTTCGTTTAAGTTATCTCAACCGTACACAGAGATAAACGGTGATGTAAATGGGTATGGAGTAGCGAATCAATACGGTGTAAATATGGAACATGAACTGGATTTCTCGCCTCATGTGAATGCATCCGAAATGTCATCATCGGGCAGCGATTAATTCAAATGCAATCATGCAAAAGATTATTTTTTTTTCTAATGTCGTTAAAATATATTTATCATTCAATTGTTGGGAATTTTTGCATTTGTTCCCAAATTTTTTGTTTTGCCCAATTTGTGGGAAACATCAAAAACAAATAAACTTAAATTTATCCTTATTATTGCATTAATTGATATTAAAATTTTTGCATTTTGCTTATTTATTTGAGGATTTCACTTTTGTATTTTTGTTTTGTAAATTTAGATGAAAATTTAGACGTAAACAGTGTCAATCAATGTTAATAATTGTAACAAATTGACATATTTTAAAACGATGGTCCTCGGTATTTGGTTCGAAGATACTTGTGAAGGACTCACGAGGGTCCTTGAAGCTGAAACCATTTTCAAAACGATGACTTTATTTGGCTTTTCGACATTTTATTAAATGCCTAGAAGCTTATGCTTAATCTTAGTTGCATATCATGGAATAATTGGCTGAAAACTGTAGATATTTTGAGATCCTTCAAGGACGGCACTATCCGTTTCTTCAGAACATCGTAAATCTGCTAAATTAGTCATATTTAATAGTTTGCGTTGATTTGCAGCTACCAGGCAGTCTAACGAGTTTATAGAAGTGCCAGATTGGTGGTATCTTTTTATTATTCAATTAGTTGCAAAGTTAAAACCTGGTTTTCTCTTAGAATGGCGCATAGTCTAAAAGTGCTAAATGGGGATTTGATTTGCATCCTGATTCAATTCTTTGGTACCAACAATTGTGAAATATTAGTCAGTTTCTATTAAAAGATATGGATTAGCTAATTTCATTCATCGTTTTACCTTGTTTAAATTTTCAAGGCATTTTAAGCGAGTTAACTTGTCCATTGCATTTGAAACTATTTCGCGGAGCCATTTTTAAGAATGAAGTCTATGTCGACCATTGATTGAAATTGGAACTATTCTAGGCGAATTAGATAGTCTTTAGATATGCCGCTTGATTTCGAGAATTTAATAAATTGTATGAATATGTTCATAACCCACATATAAAATAATCTTTTTGGGGATTCTCGGCAATTTTATGAATGTCAAGGAGTCATCAGAGTAAAAAACTACTATTCGAGAACTATTGTTTTAAAGTATCTCATAACATTTATTTATTTAAAAATACTCTAAATTGTATTTAATTAATTATTGCAGTATATTCTACTTTATTTAATGGTAAATAGGCATATTAAATTAAATTTTGAATTAATTAAATTTTAATTAATAAATAAATAACGATATTCCGTGGAAAAAAACATCAAGTAGAATTAATTTTTCTAGAGAAAAATCAAAAGTGCCTTTAATTCCTTAAAAAATCTATTGGAATTTTTAAAATTTAGTGAATATTAGGGATTCGCTGCAATTTTTCTTATGATTTCTCTCATCGTTGAGTAGCCTAAAAATTTCAGATGTTATTTATTATTTGCGCATTTTTCATGTATACGGGTATTCACCTACTTCAACTATCTTTTCTCTCTTATCTTCAAATCTGTTGTTTCGTTATCAATTAATTGGCCAATAATCATTAGTTATTCAGTTCATTCAATTCTTCAAAAAAGTGGAGAAATAAACGTAATAAATAAACGAAACATAAGAAATTTTCCGATTACCGATTTTAAGGCCCTTTCTAAGAAATTTTTAAAATCACTACAACATTCTATGGTTTTTTTTTGCATCAGATGGTCCTAAATATTTATTTATTTCATCATTTTTTCATATCATTTTAAGGCATTTAGTTTTATAAAATTTAGCTGTTATAATTTGCTAAAGTTTTCGTAGTATATACAATTTATATTTTATTCTATTAGAATAATATTTGATAATATTTTTTTAAATATTGATTCATGTTTCCTAAATAAAACTTGAATAAAGATTTCTCGCTGAAGATTTCTAGAAAGCAGTCTAAAATTTTGGAACATAGTATGCGCCATAACCAATAAAAAATCCTTCTGTTCTCATGAAAAACTGATAAAATTGGTTTTTTTAACAATTCTTCATTTTTAGTTACATGATATTATGAAATATTTTAACCAACATATAAGGCGATGCTTCTGAGAACGTATAAAATATCTAATGTAATCATTAGGAATGGTTAAATTTGCCGGAAAGGGAATTAATTAAGTATTTACGATGTATTCGTCTTAAGATGTAAGTAAGCAGAAAGTAAGTTAGCTAATCGCTAGGAGCTATCGACGAAATTAAGTAGCGAATAATAATATTTAAAAATTAGTTAAATTTATTAACGGCCAAATGAATAACACTTTGAATTAATTAGCAATTATGGCAAATCAAGTTTTGCGTGTTGTTATAGAAAAACTTGTAAGTTGTAAAAAAAGTGAGCGAAATTTTTGAAATTATAAAATTATTTTCTAAAATTATCCACAGCATTCCTTAAAGATTTATCGAAAGTATCTAATAAATAGTAAAAATTAATGAAAATTAATTTTTAGCTCAATTAAAAATGATGGTACTGAATGTGATATTCAGCATGCAATTGAAGTCATTGTTTCCATTCATTTCTGAAACTTATAATTATCCCATCATTATTAGCAATTAACAGTTTTTGAAATCATTTCTGAGCAGTAATCCGCCTCAATATTCAACAATTGTTGGTGCCAATCAAGACATACCATTGCCGCTTTCCTTCTTTTATCTTTATTTTTACACCTATAGCCAAGGCGAAACAGATCTTGGAGCAAATGCCATAGTGATGGATCTTTATGCGACAGTAATTCTGTAAATTTTGGAGGGGAACCGATAATAAAAAATTCGATAAGAGACCACATAGAGGAAAATTTAATATGAAATCTTAAATTCGCTCGAATTTGGGTTCAATTATGTCATCGCATTATCAATTTTTTATCCGTGATTTATATTCTTACTTGTTATTTGACCATTTTTTAACATTTGGTACCTTCAGTTCTTATGCATTTGGTTAGTTGTGTGGTCATGCAAAGTTTTCATAAAAGCTGTATCTCATCAAAATTTGGATTTTTTAACAATGAAAGACAATAAAGAACTTTATAACATTATAGTAGAGATTTTTAGTAAAGAATAGAAAAGTCGGAATGCAAGAGAAAAATAGTTTAAAAAATTTTTATAAGAGATTTTTAAACCAAAAAAATTTTCCAAGAGATTTCTATAAAAACAATTGTTTGCACATCGAATAATAAATGATTAAGGAACAATTGACAGAATGTTTCATAAAAACTTTTGATTTATGTAGATTTATGCGGAGATCATTCATCTAATATTTCGTGGAAATATTAGCTTTGTTTTCAAAAGATTTGGGATTTTCCAATAAAAATAATTTCATTTATTTATTTCAACTATGGATTAAGCAACACGAAAAGCTGTAATAATGACGCCGTAGAAAATAAACTGAAAAAATGAAAACAAAAAATAAAAAACAGCCAAAAACAATTTAAAAAATTTTGTTATACAGTTATTTTACATATATATAAATATATTTATATAATTATGCAATTATATTATATGTGAAATTATTATATATTTTTGGCAAATAAGCAGAGAATTAACATAATTTATTTCGCGTAAAAAGTGAGATTTCAATTGGATGCTATCATTGTTTGTATTAATGGCATAAACAAAAATTGAGCTTCTAGAAGAAAATTACGACTAAATTTATCATGAAGACAGCTTTCATGGGCATTGAACAACTATTTTCTTGCCGGTACAAAGTAAATGGTACCAAATAAGAGAAATAAAGCAATTTAAAGCAAATCTATCCGCTAGAACCATTTATGAAAAAGATCCAGCAGATATGTATTTTATAGTTTAAACTGTTTTTTCTTTTTCTTCACAAAACTGAAGAGAAAATAGGAAATTTTAGTCCATCGTTCAGCTTTAAAAAAATTGATAGAATGTAACTAATTACTCGGCAAATAGCTCAAATTTACGTTTGAGGTATATGCAGATGGTCAATAAATTGATGTTTTTGAATATTTTCTGTACGAATAAATTTATAAGCTTAAAGAATATTATCGATAGTTCAATAAACTTTCATTGTTATTTTTTGTTAGTCAAAAATTATTGAAGCAAAAATTATAATTTAGTTCAAAAAATTCGGAAATTTATACAAAAATTGCAAAAAAACTGGATTGAAAATTATTCGTTGAAAAATTTATGAATATAAATTCTTTTGGTAGAAAATAAATTTAAAATTTTCTGAGTAATATTTTTCCCATTATTTAATATTTCACTTAAATCGGTTGAAATTTCATTTGAAAAGAAAAAATTATGAAAAATTTAATTAGATTTATATCAATAAATAAAATTTTGTATTTTATAAATAAATAAAATTTTGTATAAATGAAATTAAATGAAATTTATATAAATAAATTTTGAAAAAAATTTATTTTAATAAATAATATTGCTTTTTCTTTTTCTCTTAAATACACTGCTTGATTTTTTTTGAGCCATTTCTGATTAGACTTTATCTGATTAGACCATTTTTGCTAAGGTACCATTTAGCAAGTAAAAGCTAGTCGCCAGCAGTTGCTTATTTTCGAACGATAGATTAGCTGCTCACCGGAAAACACTGGCGCTATTGCATGATTACAGCTTTGGTACAATATTTCTTGTTGGTTTCAAGAAGTAATAAGGATGTGATAGGTTTCGAGCAAAAGTTTTATCGGCGAAACTACATCGATAAGCATGTGAATATCGATTCGGAAACCATGTAAGATCCGTTGAATCCCGTTGTGTACACATAAATATTCGCAAACGGAACGTATCCAAGTGAGAGAAACAAGAGACACTAATGCCGTTAATGGATTCTGAAATTCGAGATGCATAATGGTGAGTCGATTTGCGCCGTCTTTATTTTATTTAAGGGATTGCATTATTATTCGAATAAACTTCTTTTTAATATTATAAGCTATAGATGCTTTTAAGATTATTAGATTAGTTGTTTAGTGCTTTAATATACTCAATCTTAGCAGCATATTTCCGATTTAAATA